GACGGCAGTAGTACCCCATTGGCCCATAACCCTGTGTTCTGAGTGTCGGCGCTCCGATCGATACGAATCGAAGGGGTTCCGCTACCGCATATGGAGTGAAGAAGAGCATAAGGAGAGAGCCACGCGGCTGCAGCCATCCACGTCGGATTCAGAACTAACCAACGAGCGACATTGGGACTTGATACGGAAATGGGATACACGGAGTGTACCCAAGCCCTTCCGCTCTAAACGACAAGCTGTAGCTCGTTGGGAGGTTAGGCAGTACTTTTTGGATTTAATTTGGATTTTTCTTTTTTTGCGCCGTGTCCGTGCGCGCATTCCGCGATGCGCGAAGTCGATCAACTTACTCCATCGGACCAACACGAGGGGATTTCAGTTTTGTCTGTGTCCCCACACTCAATTTCCCAAAAATCCTTGGCACACCCCATTTTGCTGATCTTTCGGGGCCAGTTCTACCCCATCGTGCACTTCGAACGAAAGACAGCACATGGCGTGAGGTTGCGCGTCACAGGCACACCCCATTTTTTGTCCATTTCCCGAGACCCCACCGCATTTTTACGCCGCTCCACAGGGACTCGGTACAGGGCGTGAGGTTGCTCGTCACACCCATGCAAATCTTCTCTGTATCGTTCCGATTCGTTCCAACTTTAAACCACCAGCACTTGGCCCAGCCAAAAAGAAAAGTGATTCTCGTAAATGAGCGCATTTTTCGGAGGCCCGGCTACCGGACCGAAATGGCTGGCGGTGCCAGCCAAAAAGAGGCCTGCGTGGACCTGTTTGGCCCAAATTATCCCGGGCAATTTTCTAAGGTTTGGGACAGGTATACACGTACTCTAGAAAAAAATTTAGTGTAGTGTAGGGAGGCTATGTCTTTGCAATCAACCGCAACAATTGAAAACGGCGCACCTCTTGGACATGGCCTCCCACACGCATTGCGTAGCCTCCACCAGGGGCAATACCCCACTTGAGGAGGTTTAGTTGGGATAATCGGTAGAAAGAGCCCACACCAAAACCTTTCCGGTTTCGGGCGCCCGGAACTTGGCCATTTGGTACTGCCGGCCCAAACCGTCTTCAACCTAGGTGAAAGGCACCTTCTCGCCGTGGCCACATCTCCCTGGGCCTGTTTTTACAAGTTCAAGAATTTGGCGCTGTTTCTGGGCCAGATTCATGAACCGGTACGGCGCTTCTTTTTCAAAATCCCGTACGTGGGCCTCATTCTATACTTCAGCGGCCTCTTCTACATCAAAATGAATCTGGCGCTGTTATGCACGAGATTCATGATCTGGTAGGGCCCTTGGAGCTACGCATGGGCATGTAAGACCCCACATGGAAGTCACTGGGCCGGTCGTACCAAATTGTGGAGTTTCGGGCGCCCAAGACCGAAAAGGTAAGGTTTTGGCGTGGGGATAACGTTTAGTTCTTGTTTCGAGTATACACAGGTCCCTGCCACCCGATTTGAAAATCTCACGACCACAGTGTGACCTCGTTGGAGAATGATGGAAACCACAACTAAGGGCTTGGCCACACCACTATAGAAACGTAAAGTGAACGAATGCATTTGCCGCAGAAAAGTGGTAAGATGGATCCATTGCTATTCATAGTAATAAATGCATCTTGCCCTTCTCTGCAGGTAGATGCATTCTTTCCTTTTTCGCTTCCACAGTGGTCTGGTGAGGCCACAAACCTCTGCAAGTCGAGCACGGCCCCAGGGGAAGGCTCTGCCTGGCGAGGTCCTGCCGGGCCGTGTCTACTGGATGGGAACTGGGCACGTGTTTTCAATGTTTCTTACAAAACATCCAAATTGCGTCTTTGGCGTCTCTGGTCGCAATTTGGACTTTGGATTGGACCCCACTGGCCGGCGGTTGGAAGAATTGGAAAGCCGCGGAAAAAGGCCAACGTCGTCCGGAAAATCATTTCCAGAAATCAGCCAGACCCCACCGCCACGGACTCACCGGCGTCTGGAAAAGGACTTCCATGCCCGAAAAGGAAAATTGAAAAGGTCGTGCCCCGAAACGGAAAGTCGAGTGATCCTGGTGGTGCAGTTACGTGAACCAGCGGTACAGGAGGACTTGTCCTTGCGGGACAACGTCGTCGCACCGCGAGGGACAGGCCGTGGAACTGTGTGGCACTTCGCGTACGTTGCCACAGGGTGCCCGCCGTGTGCTGGTAGCCGTTGAAGAGCTTCCCAGCCGCAGGTCATGTGCTGCTGGGCGGCGTTTTCAAATTTCTCACCATCAACAGCAGACTTTTGTCGGAAGTGACACCAGCAAGAGCGAGAGTGAAGTGGTCATGCGAGCACGTCCCAGGGAAACCATCCACGGAACTCCGTTCGCTCCATAGCCATCGAGGAGAGGTGTGGTTGTGTACGAGACGTGGTTCCCTGTTCGTCGTGTGCCGGTTCGCAAGCCGCTGGCAACAGAAGAGATGGATGATCTCGTCAGACGTGCAGGGTCGGAGGAGTGGGAGAACGTGATCTTCTTCTTGGTTTTCTCCATAACCCAGTGGGCGCATAGGCGCAATGCGGCGGCCATGGCCATCCTCGAAGCTGTGGCGTTTGCCCCGTTCCTATTTGGGGATGCGGCGGCGTCATTGCCGCACCTTGCGGGGTGATGCACGGTTTCGCTCTCAGCAGTTTGGCGGCGGAGGAGTTGGGGAGACGTTTGGAGCAGCGACGACGGATATGGGTCGTAGAACGGAGCGGGGGTGTGTGGAAGGATTTGCAGCAAGTTGGGCGTGAACACAACATGATGTTTGTCAGATTCTGCAGACTGCCTCGCCCGCTATTCTTCGAGGTGCACCCCATATCCAGCGAGCCTCCACGAACTTTCGGAATCCTATTCCTGCTGGTCAGAAGTTCGCTACGGCTCTCATAAGGTGGGTGACTGGCGGGTATTACAGGCAGACCTCACATAGCATGGGCATAGGGCTTGCAAGTCCGTTGCGTAGCAATGTCGAAGTCGCCGATGCTATCATCAGCAAGTATGGCCATCTCCTTCGGTTCCCGACTGGACCTCGCTTGCAGGAAGTGGAGAACGCTTTCGAGGCGAAAGGCTTTGTCGGTTGCGTTGGGGCAATTGATTGCACCCATTTGTACATCGACAAGCCGAAGGGTTTGCGTGGGGATTGCTACTACCATCACACATGACAATTCTCTGTTGTGGCGCAAGTAGTTTGTGACCACGAGTGCAGAATTATGAGCGCTTATGTGGGGTGCCCAGGGTCTGTGCACGACTCGAGAGTTCTGCGAATTTCGCCACTGTTCCAACAAGCCTCGCAAGGGACAGGTATCTTCAGCGAGGGTGGTGCACACCTACGCGACGGGAGACACGTCGGACGCTATGTGCTTGGCGATGCGGGTTACCCACTCCTGCCATGGATCATGACACCAGTTGGGAGGACGACTACAAGAAACGAGGAAAGAACCTACGACAGCTGTCACTCGGCAGTGAGGTCTTGCATCGAGCGCTGCTTCGGCAGCCTTAAGGCCGTGTGGAGGAATTTCATCTGACCGCACATAAGCAACATGAAGACCATTTGCAAGGAAGTCATGGCGATCTGCATACTCCACAACCTGATGATCCAGCACAGGGTGGAAATCGACCCTGGTCTGTTCGACGACAGCAGTGACAGTGATGATGATGGCGGTCATCGCAGACGACGTCCTCGACGGAGAGATCGTCGTCGATTCGTTCGGCACATGCCCGATCTCAATGTCGAGCCTATGGTGGACGATGACCCTACGTACGGCTCCGAGCTGGGGGCGTTGGTTCGGAGGAGCCTCATCCACCATGTCAACCACCACGTGGCGGTTCACAGTGCGCCGCCGCCATGTCCATGGCGATAGTCGACATCGTGGATACCATGGCCAACAATGGGTGAAGGCTGGATGGGATTGGAGCAAGGACTGGGTAGGGGGTTCGAGTAGGTGGGCAGTTGATCTCATTAGGGGGTTGTGTGGGAGATTTTCAGAATTTGTGTCGTACAAAAAGACATTTCGTAGCCCTCTCATCCACCTGTCCATTGCAAAGCGAAGCGCAGTGAGTGATGTGATAAAATGCACCTAATCTCTCTCTCTCTCTCTCTCTCTCTCTCTCTCTCTCTCTCTCTCTGTCTCTCTCTCTCTCTCTGAATCTCTCTATATGTACGTATGCATATTGGATATAAATAAATATATACATATGTATACAAATGTATATATATATCTATTCATATGTATATATATATGGATACGAATATATATATAAACATTTGTACATATAATATGTATATGTGTATATACATATATGTATATATCCATGTCCAGCACAAAGGGATTGCATGACAACAAACAATGGACGACACATATGGAAGAGAGAGCAAAAGAAAAACAAAAGAACGCCTCACGTCCGCAATAAGAAAATTGACACTTGAACAACAATCGCACACTGAACCTCCGTTACAAAGTTCATATTAACGAAGACTTGCATGACAGTTTCTGAGCTTGCGATGCACACTGTGCACGGACGCTGTTCGCGGAGTGGATACAGGAAGCAACCACCGATGATGACTTTGCGCGCAGATCCAATGACGGTGATGACGGTGTCGACGAACATGATGATGACGAGTTTGATGACGGCGTTGATGTTGACGATGGTCACGAAGGATCGTGACCATCATCAACATCGCCGCCGTTATATAACTCGACATCATCATCTTCGACGACACCATCATCACCGTCATTGGATCCGTGCGCTACGTTATCATCGTCGCCTGCCTTGTGCTGTATGTTCGTCGTAGCCTCCCTTCGCGGACATATGTCCACACAAGCTCCCAAGTGAACACCGATCACGAATGCAAACACGGAGCAAGGGAACGAAAACACGGAAGCACCAACGAACACAATGTTGAGTTTCTGTAAAGGAGGGCAGTGACCAGAAAAAAACTTACGTTCCCCGATGAAAATCAAATTTTAAAGCCGAAATACGGCGATTTCCAGTTTCTGGCCGTTCTACATGCCCTAACATGGAAACAGGCATTGATTGCTTCCTAAAGAGGAAGGATTGACCTGTTCCAGCACTCTACAATCAATCTGTCTCGCACCCACTATCCCGAGAACTATGGCAAAACACAAACTGTTACACCACTGCTCCAACCGCCATACACTGAAGTAAACGACGGATGACTGCGGTCCACCCGAGCAATGTCGTGTCGTCACCATAGTCGCATCACGACACATGGTCATTCGACATACGTCCATGGTGATCACCAATTTCGGACGCGAAGGTCGTCGTTAGGTTCCCAAATGTCCACCAGGCCTGTGCAAGTACCCCCTGCCCTCCAAAGGGGGGTCGAGAATTGTGTCGTACCTCGTCGAATCGTCCATGGGGCCCGCAAACTCCTCGGCGATGGCGGACACCAGGGGTCTGACGGTATCCCCCACCGCATCCCGATCTGGCCCGTCCAATCTGTTCGGGACCATCGAATGCCTCTTCATCACGAACAGGAGGATGTGGCTCAAAGCGCCGTGACCGTCATACCCCAATCCAGCCGTCATGTCCATCGCATGGACTTTGTCGACGTGCACTTCATAGAACCGAACGTCGTGGCGTGTCACACCCTCCCAGAAAACCATGTCACGACTGTCGTGCCCGTTATGTTCGTCTCTGAGCTCCTTGACGTCGACGTCACGGCCACAGACCCACTTCGATACTACAACAATGACAGCCATTCTCTCTCTCTCTCTCTCTCTCTCTCTCTCTCTCTCTCTCTCTCTCTCTCTCTCTCTCTCTCTCTCTC